TTTTGTACAAAGTCTCCCTCTGGTGGGTTAAGATTGTGTTTAACAAAAAAAAATACTTCAATTGTAGTGAAATCAGTTATTGTAATTAAAAAAGAAAACCACTGAACTGACTTTGATAAAATATCTGTGAGAATAATTTGTAAGCATATCCTATCAGATAAAAAATAATAATTTCAAATTGGTATAGAATTTACGGAGTTATGAAGTAACAAACACAAAAAAATTAGAACCTCCTTATTTTTGAAGTTAGTCAAAAATGCACGCTTTCGACAACTGTACCACCTACCTAGCTACCACCCACGTTCTTCCGTTTATAGAATTTTTCAATGCAGTCCGTTTACTTATAAATTACCACACTAATTATATGTTCCCATTTTCGGTCATTTTGACCTGCGCATTTATATTGTACTTACTTGGCAGTGTTAGTATTATAGGTAAGCTTGTAGCCTTTTCAATTTATTCAGTTTTGGTGCACTTATAAGGTTTTAGAATAAAACACTAGATTTGCTGGTCGACTTCCATTTTCATTCTAAAGACCGTGGGTTGATATGAAAATAATATTTTATAGTTATATGTATTTTTTTAACTATATGTATTGCTAAAATATACACCAAGTAAATATATATTTAATCTGAAAGTATAAATAACATTTGTAATTAAAATTAAAAGTATGTAAGTACCTATCTAATCTCAAAAACAACCAAATATTTGCATGCTTTCTCAGAGGTAAAATGTATAAGAGAAAAATGTGTAAAAAATTTAATTTCATTTTAAATTATGGAATATTTATACGCCCTATGATGGCTTAATATAAATATATTTATGCATAAATAAATTCTTGATTGTTTCATTGAATAATTTCAACACGCGATGTAATACGAGTGCGTTGATGTCTTTTGTTCGAGATTTTATTTACACGACTATTGTTTTAGTATAACTACCTTTAACTATTCAAACAATTTAATTATATAGTTTACAGCTTTTATAAAAATTACAAATCAGATTTTTATATAACATAATATCCCTACCATCATATCAGCAGTTATCTGTCCACTGAACATAGGTCTCTCCTTAAGAGGGGTTGGGAACCGCAGTTAGGCTTTGGTGATGTTTAAAGTGGTACGCTGCTGCTCATCCTTTGACCTTTAGCTGCCTCTTACGATATTTACAGGAAAGGAAATGGTGGTCCATTCTATGCGGGAAATACAGAAATAGAATAGTATATATAGGTTAAATATATAAATTAATGTTATCATGAGCTCTTACATTCTAAAATACAAGTTGTTTGAAAGAAATAAATTACTATTAATTACAAATGATAAGTAATTTTTCCTTAATAACCTGTTAAGACCCCATTAGTGGGTGCGTCCCATTATCTAATACTTATTTATCATAACACAATATTTTATAAAAATATTGCTTAAATTATAATGCTACAAATTTTAATTGTAAGAATCGTATGTTACCTTGGTACTGTACTACTACCTATTTAATTTTGTCGCATTATACTTATACTACTTATCAGACGCAACTATTTTGATCAACGACGGTTCAGTGAACTCAAACAGTAAATGCTTTACGGTAATAACCGGCGGTTACGCGTTGTAAATTATTTATTAAGGTTTTATTTTAGTAGAATTATATCTACAATCAGTTATAGAGATAATAAAAATTGATTATTATTGTATTAATAGATAAGACTTTTTACATTGTACTCTTTATAAATCTCACCGAGTAGTAAGACTTATTAATTACTGAGTAGTCAATTATATATATAAACCCCCCAATAGGAGAAGAATGGAAGGAGGGAGGAGTTCAGCAGTGGCCAGAACAACATAATATTTTTAAAAGTTATTTAGTAAAGGAATAGATTTATTTAGATCGTTAAAGTCTAACCCATTATTCATAAAAACATCAAACCTCTCATAATTTTTATCTATTTTTTTACTGCGCAAATTTTTATTTCAAAGAAACTGATTAAACACTTCAATAGCTAAAATTGATTTATAGGTTTTATTAATAAAGGTCTATTAAACTAGGGATTTTCCTTGTGGCACCTGAGTGAGAATACTGATGTAATGACATCTCTTTTCATCATCAGGATGTCATAACAAGGGGATAACGGTAGAACACGTAATATGTAGTGTGAGAGGTTAACTTAAAATAAGACTCTATACTGAGCCGCCTAGTCAGCGTTATAATAACAAGCTAGAATTCTCCTCTCATAAAAAGAGATCAATACCCAGCAGTAGGACAATAATGAGCTGTCACTGTAAGGTATGATAATATGTAAACCTTTTTTTATATCAGAGAAGTAGTAAAAAGGCATACGGCTTAACCTGATGGTAAACGTTTACCGTAACCTACGAACACCAGTAAGATCAGGGGCATTATTTGCGCATTAACGACAATAAATATTATTAAGAATGAAAAATAAAAATAAGTCAAATTAAATTTACTAAATTTCTCAGATGAGAAAAGGACTTTCTTTATGTAACTTAGAACGGCAAATAAATCAAGCAACTCGCCTGGTATTGCCTGCCTATTAATGTTATAAATACGAAATTTTTTAACGATGGATGGATCAATGTTTGTTACTCTTTCATGCAAAAACTACTGAACAAAATTTGGTACACTAGCAGGTTATATTCTAACTTAATATATAGTATACTTTATAATATTGATTCACGCAGGTGAAGTCGTGGGTTAAAGGCAGTTATGAATACTAATCGAATTAATTAATATAATCCTAGTATATACATAAAAAGTAAGTCAAATGCACGACAGACTGACTGACGGCTCGGTATCTAATAAATAAATGACATACAAATTTATTTCGTACAAACACGTTACCGTTATATTTATCTGAGGAATTCCGAAGTAAAAAATTGTATATTGCATCAGTCGTAAGTGATAAAGTGACGCTGTTCGTGATTAGCATTAACTGAACGGTAATTGTTCATGTTATTGGCTATTTAACATATTTTTTTTCATATGGTTGCCTCCTTTCTTCTTATGCAAATATAATTAGTAAAAGAAACAAAAATATACAATTACAAATGAATAATTCAAGTGAAATACAGTAACATAAATACAGATTTTTAATCGTATTTATTTTATTGTATTTTTTTATTTATTTATTTTTTGATTTCACAAGGAAATTTGTACAAATGGCGAGTTTAATGCCATGTGTCATTTCCTATCAGCCAACCATTAGGTAAGAACAGTGTTTAAGGATAGTGGCGGTAAACATACATTATACAAAAAATACACCTATTAAAATAAATTAATTAGGTATTATATTATATTTTTGTACAAAATTGTATGTATACAAAATACATCTAAGTAACAGAATTAGTAAGAAAATTATACATTCTCAAGATATGATAAGAAATCAATGCAAAGAAAGACAAAAAATAAAACTCTGTACCATGTTGCCTTGTATCGTAGGTATTATACAAGGCAACATGGTACGGGGTAGTAAACAAAAATTTTCTTACAAGCAATGCTTACAATGGTATATAAGCTGACGGTTCACCTGATGGAACTAACGTCTATAGATATGAGTTGTTCCATGGATATCGCCGAATACACTGTGACGTTTATTATACCTCTCATGTGTGTTTTTTAATGAATGATAATTAAATGGTAACCCCGTCTGCGCTAACGGTATACGCTGGCAGGGCACCAGTGAGGGAAGATAGGTGAGAATAAAAAGGCAGGACAGTTAGTCCACCGTGATGAACACACCTGGAATTCAGCACGATGATTTCCAGAGGGGTCCACGTGGAGGTCGACCTGACAAGGTATATTGGTAGCAATGGGACTGGTAGGCCTCATTACTTACAATCTCTTCCCTTTCACCTCTCATGTGTTGCTATTTCTGAGGATTGTCAAGTAATGCCTTGTTACTTGATACTACAATTACAGGTGCTTCGCGGTAGAAACACGTGGGAGTATAATTATACTGCACATTAAATTAAATTTATGGGCTATAGTGCTATGTATACTAATCACCACTGATCAATAATACCAACTAGGTTTCCGGTGTAAGCGCCGAAAACGGTCAAACGAATAACGCTTTGCATACTGAGTTCTTATTTTTAATGAATTAAAATCGTGTTTTATAATTTGCATTTATATTTTAAATTAGATACGTATCGAAATCGTTGAACTTTAAGATCTTTTTGTATTTATGTTTAGTCGATACCGTATTTAAATGCTGTGTGGTCCCTGCATCATGTCTTCCTTTTCCATAGATGTCATAAGAGGCGACTAAGGGAACTTAATGTTCGAGAAATAGGCAGCAGCGTCCCTTTTAAAACATCAGAAAAGCGACTATTGGCAATACCCACCTTATGGAGGAGGCCTATGTTCAGCAGTGGACAGTTAACGGCTGATATGCTGATAGTAATGATTGTGTTTAAGTTCCGTTTTAATTTGTGAGATCTCATACGTAAAGCAAATTTTGCTGATGATGATGAATAAAGATCTAGTTTCTTTGAATTATATTTATTTACTTATTAAAAATAGTTGCTCATAAATTTTATATACAATATACATGCGCATTAAATACGTTTTGGAAAACAGTAAGTATAGGAATAGGAATCTTGAAAAATGTATATTAAGACGATAATGATATGGTAACCCCACCTGCGCTATCGGTGTACACTGGTGGGGCACCAGTGAAGGATGATAGGTGAGGATGAAATAGGGTCAGTTAGCCCATCGTGACGAATTCAACAAGAATTGTTCACGATGGTTTCCAGAGGGACCCACGTAGAGGTCGACCTAATAGGGCATATTAGCAATGGGTCTGTCAAACTCCATTGCTAACAATCCCTTTCCCCCCTATTAAATAGGCTGGAAAAATGTAAACATTTTGCAAATGTGCCTAAATAAGCAAATTTATCTAATCTATTAGGGGGGTCGTTAGCTTTATTGCCATTCTAAGCTACATAAAAATAAATAGATATAATTACTATGAATTTATTACTCACTGAGTTCTGTATCGCAGTCGGTGTACTCGTGATTGCAGTCGACCGTGTAGCCGGAGGCGGCGGTGATCACCACCGCCGCGCACCACAGCGCCACCACGCCGCTCCACATCCCCATCACCGCAGACCCATCTGAAAAAAACATATAAAATATTTATATACTTACTACTGTATATTTAATTTCACACGATTGTCCAAAAAAGTAGTATAATGTTTTCGGGTTTTATATGTATTTATAAATTTTTTAATTTCTCCATAACTCTTAAATGTCAGAATAGATTTAGATGCATGGGATCTTGTTAGAATCTATACATCATCTTGAGTCACAAAGACGATATATTTTATCGAAAATGATTCATTTTTATTTTCGGAGTAAAATGTACTTCTTTAATTGTTTTAGAATGTAGTACTTGCCGCACTATTATGAACATCAGTATGGATATTACAGAATACTATATAAATAATGCGTTTATAAGGGTGTTTTCTTCCTTTGTATGACAATTCGTATAACAAGTACCGTACAAACACACTTGTTTGATACTCATGGTAGCCATGAGTATCAAACAAGTGTGTTTAAAAATAAATAATTTATTGTAGTCAACGTTAGCAGCTTTAAGTAATAAAAATTACCTAAGTATATTTTAAAATTAATAATGACTTTCAGATGCAACCACCCAAATAACTTGAAAGAGCCTAAGAAACAGTTTAAATGCCCTTATAGTATTCAAGAGATTATTCCCTTACTCCTAACTGTTAAAGAGTTAAACCTTCCGTCATCAGCTCGTCTAAATAACTTAAGGAAGCACCCTCAACTGACTTTACGTGCCTTTAGTATTTAAAGAATTATCCTCTAACTCGTAACCATTGAGGAGTTGTGCCTTACATCTGCCTAGTATCTACCATCTAACTACCAGGTGCCTGAATAAATTTTGTAAAATGTGCCGCCCGTTTTTGAGTACCTGACAAATGTATTATAGCCATATATTGTAATTTTAGAAATATTGTACCTACTATAGACAAAATAAGAAACAATTTGGAATCAAACTAAAAAGATTATAAAGTGAAATCACAACATATTTAAATATAAAGAGAAACTATATAAGGTACTCATGTAAAAATAAATGGTCTTTTCCGAGCATATTGGAAATCGACTTAATATATCGTAGTACCATTTCATTTAATTGGATTTTTGAATATATGTTTACTATCGTTCAGCTTAATACAGTTTGGATTCATTTAAAATCCAGCTTCTTACTAATATTACAAATGTGAAAGTTTGTATGTTTGTTATTCAAACATTCTTAAACGTTTGGACAGATTGTTTGTTACATAGATGACTCATATTGTGTAATACATATATTACTACTTTTTGTTCTGTTTTTTGTTTTTACACTACTTTGGTGGCGAACAAGTAAACGGCCCGTTTGATGGTAAATGTGATCACCGTAGACTATGGATACCTTTAACATCAGGGATATCATGCGCGCGTTGCCAACCCGTAAAAAAGTCTCGGAAGTAAGATCATTATACGAGTGCCTAAGTAGTATTAAGGCACAAAGAACTATGTATCTTTTTAAGATAGTAAGCTGGTTTTCGGAATTCATAAATGTAATTAAAAAAAAAGTTTTTTTTTAATGATTTTCATATTTTGATTATATGTTTATAAATTTTTGAAAATAGGTATAGACAGTTAAAAATGTATCTATAACTATTTTTATTAATTCACACGAGCAAAGCAGCGGTATACAATTAATAATCACATAAGTACATATATCAACTGGATATTTAGAACGATTGCAAGATGGAACCTTAGACGATTGTAAACCACAGTGTGGCATAGTTCCACTTGAGTGAACTAAATGTGGTGTATTGTCGGCAAATGAATTCAGTTGTATAAGGGACTATTGTTACCTAACAAGATAAGGTGTAACGGAAAGGGTATGACAATTCGAAATGTAATAAATACTCAAAGTTGTTCAGTTTGATTTACATTTTGCTCAAAGGGTATTTATTAATGGAAGTCCTCATCGAAAATAAATGACCAACAAAGGGATTAAATTGATATGTATGCCCTTATATCATACCCATATTTCATCAGTTACGTCGTGACTACAGATTAGCGAGACTATGTCTAAAGGTCGCGACCATGAATATTGGAACAGGGTCAAAATAAACAAGTGAATAATCGTGATAAGAACCTGTTCGTTATGCATTTTTCATGCAACTTTCAATGAGAAATCAACTGAGGAGATAGCTAACGGAAGATGTAGTAAGTTATGATCTTCTGCAGATATCAAGATTATCACAGAATATACTGTATATTTTATAAAGAGACTGGAACTTGACAAAAAGAAACTGTTTTACCATTCGTTAGTTAAACTATCAGTGAAAATATTGCAAAAGTGCTTTTCTTGTATACTGTTAGGTGTGTACTTGTTTTACGAGTACTTCGTACACGTTTCGTAAACATAATCGATTGTAAAAATACTTTAATTTAGAATGCGTTATCGTGTTTTTTCAATACATTTTATTTTGAAGTAAGCTGTTTCTGCTCCGCAAAGAAATATGACAGCTTCAATCGTTACAACATTATAATGTAACCAACACGGGAGCAAACTTTAGAAATTGCAAAAAGAATTTTCGAAATCGGTTCAGAATTGACGGCATAATCGCGACGCTCAGCTATAATAAATACAGACAAATCGATTACCTACTCCTTTTAACAGATGCTTAAAAATATGATTCACTTGTCCTTCATTGATCAACTATGTATTGTGGTATTAAAGAGCCATTGTTCGGTGTTGATGCCATATTGAAATTAGATGTCACTTTCGCACAAGGTCGTAAAAAAGGTACAGTGTATTATATCATAGATTCATACATCATTGTGATATATTTATGTTAAGATTGTTGATTGATTCAGTATATATCCTTTTACTTTCAATATAAAGCCACTTCTATATAATTTGTAATGACCTGAATAAAAGACCCATGCGTTTAGACTAAATTAGAATTAGTTAAATATAGTTGAATAAATTTACATGAAGTTACAAGATAGTGATTAATATCTATCGTCTACTGTCTACTGCTAAACATAGGCCTCCTCCAAAAGGGGGGTATTGCCGGGGTAGTTACTACGTTTGGCAGGCGGATTGGAAAACTGTAATTAGGTTTTGGTGATGATTTAAAAGGGACGCTGTTACCCATCCCTCGACCATTAAGCCCCCTTAATCGCCTCTTAAGACACCAACAGGAAAAGAAGGGCTAGTCTATTCTATATCGGGACTACATGACATAGAATTTACACGGCAAAGAAATTACAGGCTATGAAGGTTTTCAAAGCCTGTAATTTCCATAGTTTTCAGAAATAGTACCGCATGAAGGGTGGTATTTATACGAGTAGTATATTATGTAATATCGATGATACACCAGGTGAGCCTTCAGCTTCTTTATCCTTCTAAATGTTATAAGAAAATCTAGACTTATTTTTAATTTAACTTTCGGTATGGAAAACTATCTCACAAACCTAATGTGAATTACAAATTAAACTTAAGCCATGTCAGGTTAGTGAAATAGTAGTGTTGTTTTTAAATATCAGTAAAATTTTAGGTTCATTTAATTTTACACAAGATAAAATAGCAGCTAAGACGTGAAAGATTATATTGTTTACTTGCATTGGTACTAACTTATCTGGTATATTAGTCACTAGTAATACTTAGTTATTCGTAATTTAAATATTTTCATCACATTATAATTAGGTTTAATTCATTAACAACACATCTTGTATAATAATGAAATATGTCTAAATAAATTAATGCAATACTCTAAATGAATAATTCAACAAATACAATACTAAATATAAAAATAAAGAAAAAATATATATAAGCCTTAGAAAGATGTTTATTACAGTTATTCTTTACTAATCGTACTTACTTTGTTTGCGTGACTGGATTAAAAGTGACTTATTTCTTTCTATTTGCCAAATATTACGTGTCTATCATATTACGATAAGTTGAGCCGAAGGTAACGTATAAACAAACTCACTTTCACATTTATTAGTACCTATTATTAGTTAGTTAGTACTCAAGGGTACTAATATTATTAAGAGAAATTTGGTTTACACGTATTAGTTAGGATGGGGTAGAACAAAGGTTATTTTTTATTCCAGCAAGTTAACACATTATAGTCACGTGAACGAAGTCGCAGGTAAGAACTAGTGAATAAATATGTAAATAATTCTTCTTTAGGACCTAAATTAATTACAATCAAAGAATAACAGAGCTATATTTATATTTAGGCGAGATTGTAGGTTTGTTTATAATATTATGCAAAAAGCTAGACTAGACCGGTGGTCGCTGGCATGTTTACTTTCCCCGTATAATGTAGTTTCTTACGCGAAAGTCTGCATGTTATGAAATTTCTTTTAATAATATTGTCATTAAAAATATTAGCTACATACCTATTTATTTCGCATGCAATATCATGATGGCCAAATAATTACGTAGAAATACATGAAAAACAAGACGCCGCACATTGCTGGCCCATATTGCTTCATCATCATCAACATACTAGCCGTCATCCGTCCACTGTTGATTATAGGCCTCATCAACAGATTGTCATAAGAAACGGTCCTAAGCTATCTGCATCCACTAACTTCCTGCAATAAATTTGAGGTCCTCGCTCCATCTAGCGTGGGGTTGCCTTCACTGCGTTTGCTCATACGGAGTCTTTATTGCATGCCATCATGCTGAATACGATAGCAAAAACTCCAAAGATTCGAATGATAATCCCACCTGCGCTATTAAAAGATGATTTTTTTATTACTACTTCAGCCATTAACTGTCCACTGTTGGACATAAGCCTTCCCCATAAGGGGAGTTTTGCCAGTAGTTGCCACGCTTGGCAGGCGGGTTGGCAACCGCAGTTAAACTTTAAAAGATGATAATTTAATTTAAGTTACTGCATTATTGTTACTAAAATTAATTCAGATCATCTTATAAATACTTTTACGTACTTACTCTTCCTGCATTGTCGCAATCTTTGGATATTTGTCTCTAAATACCTTTGTTTTTTAACAAAGCAGGTGACAGTTGACACATTGGCAGGCATTGTGTGAACGCACGTGGCTAAGT